AAGCTGGTCAGTAGCATCTAGTGTTTGCTATCAGTCTAGAGAGATGGGTGCTGGGAAGGGGTCGGTGAATGTCACTTCTTTCTTCTTTTACAATGACAGTTTCACTGGCGGGTATGTCTTGGCAGAAGCCAACTAGATCTGAGGAAGAGTGTCACGGTGGTGATCCTGTTTGCTGGTTCTTATTGACTTACTTCTTTTAGCTAATTGCATGTGACATCTCGATCTGCTGTGACTACTTGTAAGAAGACAATGTCAATCCAAGGTCAGCAGTCATCAGTTTGAGTCTTCCTGCCTTGTTTAACTAGAGAGGTTTGGTGTCCTGTGGTCTAAATAAACTGCTTTATTTGTTGTTTTTTTTCCTCGCCGAGTCATGTCAGACTCTTTGTGACCCTGTGGACTGTAGCTCGCTAGGCTCCTCCGTCCATGGGATTTCCCAGGGAAGAATGCATCTCCCGCACTGGCAGGCAGATTCTTTACCCATGAGCCACCAGGGACACCCAAACTATACCTATGTTTTAAAAAGATACATGATTGTACATATACCTGTGTAACTTTTTGTGTAGAAATGCTTAATATTATTTAAAATGTTAATACCACCAATTTAGCTCCACCATTTCTGAAAGGGTTAGATTTGCAGCCACCTCACTATTTTTGCCAGAATGTTTCTTTGTTTACTTACCTGTTTTAACTCTGATGGCACCGCCGACTCGATGGACATGGGTTTGAGTCCACTCCGGGAGTTGGTGATGGACAGGGAGGCCTGGCGTGCTGCAGTTCATGGGGTCGCAAAGAGTCGGACATGACTGAGCGACTGAACTGAACTGAACTGAACTGAACTGAACTTTAAAGGAAAAGATACCTCCCTAGGAGTCCACTGGCAAGCCTTCTATAGGCTGCTGACACTGCAAAGCCATTGATGGTAACTGATCAGCCCTCATTCACACTTGGATCATCCCATGGGGTGTTTCACCTGTGAGTTAAGGGTACTGAGCATAGAAACGAGGCTGGAGAGTCTGCCATGGTGAGAGAGTCTTTCACGGAATGAGATTTGAGATAAAGTTAAAAATTTATGGAGATGTTTTCAGTATGAGACAGGCTTTAAGAGGGTCGTTGAGTCCTTCTTCAAGAGACAGGAGAATTTTACCAAGTCAAGGAGACTTACAGGGTCACTGACTAAAGAAACAATTACAGATCCCATCTTTTACAGCCATGTCTCATGCCCCTTTCCCTTTGGAGTCTAGCATATTTCAAACAGTTTCTTCAAACGAGAGGTTAAAAACCCAGTTAAACAAGGTGGGGAGACATGGAATTGACTGGCCTCTTGTGTGCTGCCAGATTTTGCAATCTTAGTTTGAAAACCACCATACTCAATCTTTGTCCCCTCTGATATTTTATGTTTTTTTTTTGAACCAAAGAAGTCCCTCCTTTGAGTTTATTCAAGCTTGAGGGGATTGTGAAGATGGAAAATAAGCCAGTGGGTTAGGTTGGTGGAGGACCACATTAAACCTGGCTGGAATCAGTATTGTATCTTAACTCATTTCCCAACTCTAAAGAGTGAAGTTCACACTCCCTGGCATGACATATAAAACACTTCTGACCTGAGCCCTGTGGACCATTCCAACTTTATTTCTTACTAAAGACTGTCATCCATCATTTGGTCCATCCCAAGGGACCTGTTCTTACACTCTGCTTTGCCTTTGCTCAAGCTACTCTTTTCCTATGGTGAATGTTCTTTCCCTATATTCACAGCCTTACTCCAGTGACACTCCCTTCCTTGATTCTCTTGGCTAAAAGAAATTCTCCAATGTTTCATTTTCAAACTTGTTTTTAAACCACAGTCATCTAATGAACCTGTTAAAAATGTGATGTGAATTCCCTGGCCCTATCCTAGGGGCTACTAACTTGGTAGATCTGGAGTAGAGTCCAGGACTCCATACTTGACTTACATTCTAGCTGCTGATGATATAGTCATCAGGGACCACACTGAGGAACACTGCTGTATTCTTTAAGGATGTTATTACTTTATAGTTTGTTTTACATACTATGTGGGTTGCAAAATGGTCTCTGGAATGGCTTAGCTGTATGGTAAGTCCCCTATATACAAATGAGTTTCGTTTGGAGAGTGCATTCATAAACCCAGTTTGTTTATAAGGCCAACAAAGTTAGCATAGGTACCCAACAAGTACAATCAGCTATATGGTACTGTTGGGTTTCCCAGGTGGCATTAGTGGTAAAGAATCTGCCTACCAATGCAGGAGATGCCAGAGATGTGGGTTCGATCCCTAGGTTGGGAAGATCCCCTGGAGTAAGAAATGGCAACCCACTCCAGTATTCTTGCCTGGAGAATTCCATGGACAGAGGTGTATAATACTTTTCACACAAATAAAAAATAAACACACACAAAATAAAGGAAGCCTGTTTGATCTTACAGTGCAGTACCTTGAAAAGTATGGCAATACAGTACAATAGCTGGCACACAGGGGCTGGCATCGAGTGAACAGGCAAGATGTGTTATTGGAGGAGGGAGAGGAGGGGAGTGATGGGAGAGCTGAAAGACTGTCAGCAATAGGAGATGGAGGGCAAGCTGCAATTTCACGCACACTGGATGTTGATGGCACAGGTTTTGGTCCCCTCTTGAAAAAACAATTCAGTGACGTCTGGGTAGTACTGTACCAGCTACATCACTGCTGCTTTTACACTTGCGTCTGGACATCCTGGGCTTGAAATGAAGACACTTTACTGCTCTACTCTATACAGTAGTGTACAGTAAAATACAAAAACCACAACCACTTGTAGAGAATGCACGCATGTGACAATGTACAACAAACTCATGAACTAACTTACATGATCAGATATGTCAACGCACATTTTCATCTTTGAAAGTTTGAAACTTGAAGGTTTGTTTTAGGGGACTTACTGTATCTATCCTCAGGCTTCCCAGGTGGGGCTAGTGGTAAAGGACCTTCCTGCCAGTGCAGGAGACATAAGAGATGCTGGTTCGAACCCTGGGTGGGGAAGATTCCCCTGGAGAAGGAAATGGCAACCCACTCCAGTATTCTTGCCTGGACAATCCCATGGACAGAGGAGACTGGAGGGCTACGGTCCATAGGGTCACAAAGAGTCAGACACGACTGAAGCAACTTAGCATGCACGCATGCACTGTATCTGTCCTAGCTTACACACGTTTCCAATGAATGGACATCTCTGCACCAAGTTTTTTATGATTGGGAAGGAGGTTGATGTTGGTTGGGAAAAGAGTGGTGACAATCCATCTCTCTGTCCTCCCATTCCATGGCCCCAGGACAGGACCTCATGAAGGTCTGGAGTGCTTCTCCTTCAGAATAGATGTTGGGACAGCTGTGGAGCTACAGAGTTAGGTCATGGCATCATCTCAACATGAAAAACTAGTATTCAATAAATATTTGTTGAATGAAAAGACAAATGAATAAACATTACTTTGGTCTAGGGAACTTAGCACATGAACATTCTGAAACCAATTTCGAGATGGGTTTGGAGGGAGCAACTTTCATTAAATGACTTATCCTCATATATTCTGTGCTCCTTCAGTTGTAAATGGAAAATTGTGATGTCTGTTCACTATATATTACTTACTTTATTATTTTTTTTTTCAAAGTTAAAAGCGCATCAAACACGCCTAGCATTTATTATTTTAATCACAAACCTACAGACCCCTCAGAACACATTCCTCGGGGCATGGCCCCAACAATTCAAAGCTGACAACCTTGGGTGTATGTGTAGGAGGGATGGGGATGAGGAGGGAGTGTCTCTTGATAACTCTGAAACGGGGAGGATTTCTCCAAATGGAGAACTGGGTGGAGGCCAGAGGTTGGGGGTGACTTAGCTTCTGAGTGGGGAGGGGAGTCAATTAAAAAATCAGGTAAACAAAAGAGTGGGTATGTATGCTTTCGCGATCCTTCCCCTATGCCTCTGTCTTGGTGGGATAGGCTTCCACTTGTTCCCAGGCTGGGGAACTCCCTGGAAAGGCCCCTTCCTTCATCCTGTCCCTCTACATGTTGAAAAAGAGTACTGTGGTGCTGGTTGTGTAAAACTGCACCAAGTACTCCCTAATCTCCATCACCTCTCCAGTCTACCCCTGAAAGGAAGCAACACTCTGCCTAAGGGTACGGGGTCTAACTCTCACTCACTCCTGATCTAGGTCTGGAATGTCAACCCACAAGATTTCAAGATCTGCCCCCTTCTCCAAGGGCAAGGTCAGCTTAAAGCCCTCCTAGGTTAGGTCAAGTTGGTCCCAGGTTAAGGCAGGGGGTGGATATCGGGGTTTGGGGGGAGTTTAAGTACCACTCCTCCCTGCAGTATGGAATGCTGGATGGGATATTGCTAAGAGACAAAGACTGTGGTCTCCACAAAGCTGCCTGATCTTACTGACTCCTCCACACCTGAAATACCTGTGCTGAGTTGTTCCTATAAGGAAGGGGCAGGGCCTGAGTCCTCCATTGTTACAAGGCCAGGACTGAGTTCCCAGGTGAAGGGGCTGGCTCTCATCCTCACTTCTGTTCCTTGCCTGGGCAGGGCAAGATTCACAGGGGAAGGGACAGGGCTTAAACATCTAGTTTGGGACCGCCATCATTTTGACTCCTCTTCCTTCCCAGGATAGACTAGACTGATGGTTCCAAGAGAGGGGATGGAGCATTATCCGGACACCTCTTCATCACAGGAAACCCACTAGGACAGTCCCCAGAGGCCGGGGCCAACCTCATCCCATGGCATGGGCGAGTCTCACGGGACGAGGTCAGGCTGTGATCTGCAGGAGACAGGCCCTGATTCCCTACCTTCTCCATGCTGAACACCTGCACTGGCCTGTCCTGTGGGGAAGAGGTGGGGCCTCATCAAGTCTCCTTTTCCCCGGGGTACACCTGGACAGGGCAGTCTCATGGAAAGGCGGCGGAAAAGGTGGGGCCTCATCCTAACAGGTCCTCCCTTCCTGGGTGGGGAAGTCCCAGGGGAGGGGTGAGGTGTGATCAGGACTCCTCCTCCATGCTAAAGCTGCTGCGGCGACTGCTGGCCTTGGAGACCGCAGGGGATACTGAAGAAAGCAGGGGATCAGAGGCAGCCCGCAGTGGGGACAGGGTGCCCCCTGACAGTCCCCCCACCACCCCCTCCTCCTCCTCCATCAGAATGTCCTCCAGCCCCAGGTGGAAGGGGTCCCCCAGATCCCCCAGGTGGTCGCTGGGAAAGTGCAGGTCCAGAAGTGCATCCGAGGGTGGTGGCGGGGGCTGCTGATGGGGAGCACTTTGGGCAAGGCCCCCCACTGCATGAAAAATCGCTGTGCCTGGCCTGCCCTCCTCTTCAACATCCAGCTGCTCTGGCTTGAGACTGTCAGAGGCTGAAGTTGCAGCCAGCTAGAGCAGCCCTGGGGTGGGAGGCACTGGCAGACCATGGATCTGGGCCTGCAGCTCCAGCTCCTGGATTCGGAGCTGCAGGCTGCGGTTGGCTTGCTGCAGGCTGCGGTTGGCTTGCTCCAGGGATCGCTGCCGGCTCTCCAGGTCTTTGGAGCGCTGTTGCTCCTTCTGCAACTTGCGGATGTAATCCACGGAGGCTTTTAGGATGGTGCCCTTGTTCCAGCGCATCTCCGGGTCACTGGACTTGGGGATGAGGGTGCCCAACTCCTTGATCCTGTCGTTAATGTTGAATCGCCTGCGACGTTCAACAGAGATCTCCCGTTTGATATTGGGCAGCTCAGCTGGACAGGAGTTGCTGACAGTGATGGCTGGTGTGGCCACGCCCTGATTACTGTACACATCAAGCAGATTCCCGGACACAGGCAGCGTGCTGGGGAGCTGCAGCCCCGTGTTGCCTCCAGGCAGATAGCTGAGCATCTCATCGTTGTAACTGGACTCCAGGCGAATAATCTCATCGATGACATCGTCGATCTACTTCTCTGAGCTAGACCCGATGGTGAGCAGCGCCATGGGGCTGTTGGGAGCACTGCTGGTGGGACCAGGAGCGTGGGCAGCCTCGGGGGTGGGGAGCGGCTGGGCACTAGCACCCCCTGGTGGTGGGGTGAGGGCCTGGGAAGCCAGCTTGGGCCCAAGTGTGGTGGAGAGGTACTGTTTCACCTGCTGTCGGCGCGCCTGCTGTAGGTGATAGCGTGTTGGGTTCTCCAGATGGGTCTGCACCTTGAGCACCTCCCTGGGCACCTGAGCTGGGGGAGGACGACCCAGTGTGTGGCCCCCAGCAGAGACGCCAACCACAGAGATGGCAGGAGAGGCAGGTGCAGGACTAGGGAAGGAAGAGGCTGCGGCCTGTTCCCGACGCTCACGCCTCTCCTGTTCCTGGGCCTGGGCCCGCATTAGCTGCTGCTGCAGCAAGACCCGCGATGAAGACGACGACGACATGGCAGGGGTCCTGGAGCCCCCTTGACCGTAGCGATAGGGGTTGGCTTTTGAGCTCGTAGAAGCTGTCAGGATCAAGGACGTTTTCTAACTCGATGTCTGCAACAATCCCGGACTCCGGAAGCAAAGAGTTCAGGCTGAGCAGCTGGGCTGAGTCGGCCGGCCTGCGCTCCTCCAACAACAGGAACACGGCTCGAGGGCCCTCCGCGCTGGCCTCTACGCCGTCCCGAGCTGGCTTGGCCGCATGAGACATGACGCCCGGCCCCGGGTGAGCCCTGCCAGGCCGGTCGGGCCTCGGCCCGGTCCCCCTAACAAATTAAGACTACCCTCCCCCGCTCGCCACCGCCTCCTCCGCTAAGCCATGGAGCCAGCTCCTATTACTTACTTTAAAACCACAAAGTATTTTAAAACTCTTGGATATGAGTGTTATGTATATATTTTGCATTATTAATAGTTTTCAATTAAAAAATTTTCATACTATGCCTGTTAAATTTAATACTGTACATTCATATGCAAACTTATGAAGCATAATAAGCTTGGAGATTTCTTCTTATATTTTCCTTGAAAAGAGTTACTTTAGTTATTTCTTGATTCACACTTCTTGAGAGAAAATAAGGACCATGGGAGAGCAGGCAATAGACACTTTTCAAGGCATTTGTGTCAAACTTTGGTTTGAATTTAATTTTAGCCCTAGCTTCAGTTTTCTCCTCTGTTAAGTAGAGTTAATACCTCAGTTCAGTTGCTCAGTTGTGTCCGACTCTTTGAGACCCCATGGACTGCAGCACGCCGGGCTTTCCTGTCCATCACCAACTCCCAGAACTTATTCAAACTCACGTCCATCGCATTGGTGATGCCATCCAACCATCCCATCCTCTGTCGTCCCCTTCTCCTCCTGCCTTCAATCTTTCCCAGCATCAGGGTATTTTCTAATGAGTCAGTTCTTCCCATCAGGTGGTCAGAGTATTGGAGTTTCAGCTTCAGCATCAGTCCTTCCAATGAATACCCAGGACTGATCTCCTTTAGGATGGACTGGTTGGATCTCCTGGCAGTCCAAGGGACTCTCAAGAGTCTTCTCCAACACCACAGTTCAAAAACATCAATTCTTCAGTGCTCAGCTTTCTTTACAGTCCAACTCTCACATCCATACATGACGACTGGAAAACCCATAGCTTTGACTAGATGGACCTTTGTTGGCAAAGTAATGTCTCTGCTTTTTAATATGCTATCTAGGTTGGTCATGCTGTCCAGGTTAGCATGCTGTTTAGGTAGGAGTTAATACATACCTCCTAGGAGAGATGAGGATAAAATAAAATCATGTCTATAATGTTTGGGATTGCCTTGTCATTACTTGATGGAGGCAAAGGCAGATACACTGAAATGCTAAAATGAAATTGCTGCCAGAAAGTGAAGTAATAAAGGCATTTCAAAATTTGTGTGCTGGGATTTCCCTTGTGGTCCAGTGGCTAAAACTCTGTGCTCCCAATGCACTGGGCTTGGGTTTGATCCCTTGATGGGGAACTAAAATCACGCATGTCTCAACATGGGTTCACATGCTGCAACTAAGACCCAGCACAGCCAAATAAATAAAAATATATATTTAAAAAATTGTGTGTTGACTTAGGAAATTTGAATCACAAATTTTCATGAACAAATGTAGTATGAAAATCTTTGTAATACTTGCATTTTTCTTCTCTACTCTGAAGTGGCAATTTTTATTATCTTCTGCCACCTGGTGCCTTGACCAAGTTACTACATCCCATAAGTGTGAGTAATAATAAAATGCTATTATTAAACTATTATTATTAAAATAATAATATTCAGTTATTATTAAAAATAACATTAGTAAATATTATTTAGATATTTTTCTGGGGTAGTCACTGTATCAAACCTACATAAATTAGCTAATCAATGAATTCAACAACCACTTATTGAGTACAGCTATGTATCAGCAACTTTAATGTATTATGTGGTTTTATGATCATGACATCCTTTTAGGTAAGCTTCACATTCTCCCCATGAGACTTAGAAGGAATAAGTGATATACCCTCCAAGGTCATACAGCAGGAGAGGAAGGAACTGGAATTTAAACCAATTATTTTTCTCACTGCCTTTATAATATATGGTGGTTAATCTACTCTAGTTTATTGATGTAGCAATTTTTATTTCACGGGATGATGATGACTCCAATATAACAACCTTATCAATCAAATTTTATCACCGTCTACTTAGACTCAATGTCAATCCACCTCATACTAATAGTAAGAACAAGTGAATTTGGAGTGTTTAGACTTCTGTGTGTTCTAACTATTCTGGAGAAATAGATTGCATGTTTTTAATTTGCTTTCCCTTTTCTCTGTTTCTTTTTTAGAAGATGTAGAGGAATTCAAATTTATTCTGCAGAAATTCAGAAACATATTAAAATAGGCTTATAGTCTGGTTTCACTCTAGTTTGAAGAATTCAGAGGAAGGATTTTCATGGTGAAATGTTTACAACTGGAGGGACTACACAGGCATCTCCAGGCAGGTTTCTTTTATTCTAAACACAATGTCCACTTTTGGTTGATAGCAGCTCCTTGATTTATGTTTTGGTAATCCTCTTTTTTACTTTGCATATAGTCTTGGTCAATAAGATACCTTTCTCCTCCTTAGTCAACAAACAGCAATCAACTAATCTGGGCTAATCAGAATCTCTCCCTTGGGAACTGAATCTTGAACAAAGTCAGTCAAAGACAGTAATAGTTGGAGTCAATTCAACATTTCGAGTTTTAATATCCTTGTGAGTCTCTGAATTGCCTCCAACTACCTGGATCTTTGGGGATACCTTGTTGGATGCTCTTTCTGAGCTGTTTGCTGCTTCCATTTTGCTGGGTTATCCCATATCTTCTGATTACTGTTGTTATTGTTGTTTCATTGCTAAGTCACTTCTGACTCTTTGTGACCCCATGAACTGTAGCCTGCCAGGCTGCTCTCTCCATGGGATTTCCCAGGCAAGAATACTGGAGTGTGTAGCCATTCCCTTCTCCAGAGGATCTTTCCAACCCTGGAACTGAACCTGCGTGTTCTGCAATGGCAGGCAGATTCTTTACCACTGAGCTACCAGGAAAGCCCCCTTCTAATTATAGTTCTGCTTAAATTAGTCGAAGAACCCTAACTGATGAAAGAGTGAGCAGGGTAAGACAATGGCTGCTCTTCTCTAGATAGGGAACACAGTGTATGGAAGAGCTATATTGAATTTATAGGGTTTGTCTGCATAGTGTGTGGACTGGCCATATCCAACACACTGGGGAGGGGAAGCTTATAAGAAATGCAGATACTGTGTGAATCAGCTATATTTCAGAAAAGCTCAGATGCTTTATTCTGTGCTTAATGGATAAGAGTTTCCCATTGTGAGGACCAGGGAGTCTGAAATTTGAACAAAGTTCTTGGGGATTATTCTGCAAAATATGTTTGAGAAACACAAAAGGGCCCAGATTTTGAAATTTGAAAAACATGGATTGGAATGATTTAAGCTGTTTAAGCTGTAGTTGGTCTATTAGCTCTCTGATTCTGTTTTGTCATCTGTAAAATGAGAACAGTTAAGACTATTCATTAAGTTGTTTTAAAAGACTGAAAAGTATATAAAGGACTTTCATATTGCCTCAACAGAGGAGAGTTGCATCATTCTTGGGTGCTTATATTCCCAAATCTAATACGTCCAGGTAAAATTGTGAGTAGCCAATATTATGGATGAAAATCATGTAAATCCACAGTGGCAACAACTGGCTACTTGTATGCATCATGTTGTGAACAATTGTATAGTCTTCCTTTAAGTCGTGACTTAGGGAGAATTTTCCTGAAGAATTAGAATAGGTTGTATGCATGCTCAGTTGAATCTGACTCTTTGAGATCCTGTGGACTGTAGCCTGCCAGGCCCCTCTGTCCATGGGATTCCCCAGGCAGGAATACTGGTGGAGGTTGCTATTTCCTCCTCCAGAGGGTCTTCCCAACCCAGGGATTGAACTTGTGTTTCCTGCATTGGCAGGCAGATTCTTTACCATTGAGCTACCTGCTGCTGCTGCTAAGTCGCTTCAGTCATGTCTGACTCTGTGTGACCCCATAGATGGCAGTGTACCAGGCTCCTCCATCCCTGGGATTCTCCAGGCAAGAACACTGCAGGGGGTTGCCATTTCCTTCTCCAATGCATGAAAGTGAAAAGTGAAAATGAAGTCGCTCAGTCATGTGTTACTCTTCACGACCCCATGGACTGTAGTCTACCAGGCTCCTCCGTGCATGGGATTTTCCAGGCAAGAGTACTGGGTATGCATGCAAAATAGTTGGCTTGTACTTAGAAGTCATGTTCTATTATTTCAAAAAACAACCCACACTTTACATTCTCGAATTGTTTCTCATGCTCCATGTCAAACGAGGTGGACAGGGGCAAGTGATGCTCCTGGTAATGTCACTCCAGGAACAGGCTGACAGCTGCTCTAGCATCTGGAACATTGTGAGTTGACGAGGTAGCAGAAGAAAACATGGAGCATTGGCCACCAGCTCTTAAACTCTTCTACCCAGGAGTGCTCCACACTTGTGCTCAAATTCACTGGCAAAGCAAGTCATGTTGCCATGCCTAATTTCAGGTGTCCAGAGAAGTGCCATCTGCCTAAATCCTTAGAAGCAGAGGGAAGCAAAATACATGAGAGTATCACTGATGCTTCCCTTATGGGGCCTGGGCATCGGTGTGTTCTGAAATCTCCCTGAGGGATTCTAATGTGAAAGTTAAGTACCTGGTCTCAGGCTTGCACGCTTTGACAGGAAGGGAGGTAAAAATAACCTGCTCTACTTAAAGCCTCGTATGAACATGGGCAGGTTCAATGTGCACGTGAAGTGATATGGGTGGACTTCTATATTACTTATGTTTATGGGTGGCTTTACATGATGGGGGGACAAATTACTGAGGGTCATAGGCAGTGATCACTGCTCATCTGCCCCTGCTGTCTCCCCTCCTTTTTTACACTGGTCGCCACCAGGAAAATCTAACAGCCTCATAAAGTCTCTGATGACTCCAGGGGTGCAGTTATTCAAGGTTTTGAAATAATATAAATGGGTAAAAGTCACAACAGGGGACTTCCCTGGTGGCCCAGTGGTTAAGACTTCACCTTCCAATGCAAGGGGTATGGATTCGATCCCTGGTTGGGGATCTAAGATCTCACATACCTCTTGGCCAAAAAAACAAAACATAAAACAGAAGCATCACCAACTCAATGGACATGAGTTTGAGCAAACTCCAGGAGATAGTGAAGGACAGGGAAGCCTGGCCTGCTGTAATCCATGAGGTTACAAACAGTGGGATATGACTTAGTAACTGAACACCACCACCAAACAGAAGCAATATTGTAACAAATTTAATAAATACTTTAAAAATGGTCCACATAAAAATCTTTTTAAGAAGTCACAACAGAAAATGCAGGGAAGGTAGAATATGGGTCTCAAAACCTTCTTGCAGTCCCTACTCATTCTGTCAACCATAACTAATAAGGCTTTTGGAAACTTGGCAATACTCACAAATTATCCTGGGAATTCAAAAAACTCACTACTGCCAGGCTGGCATGTTTTTTGTTTGTTTGTTTGTTTACAGATAAGTGACCATCTCTGAAACTTGGTTATGCATACAGGCAGGTATCAATATTTGGAGCGGTAATCTGAGGCATCATTTGTATCTAAGTTCTTCCACCTGGCTGATCACAAATACCAGATATGTCACTTTGAAGGATGCCCTTTCTGCAGTATCTGCTCACAGGGTTTCTTCCATGCAGGCTGGTTCAGATTCCTAAAGGATCGATCACAAGGCATCTCATGCCCCTGCAGGAGATAAGAAGCCAGAGAGAAATTGTCTAGATACTTAGGAAGGGTGGACAGAGGGGTAACTCACACGCTGGGTGTACAGGTGGGTTAGATCCAAGGTTTGGCTTAAAGTAAGTTTCATTAAAACACAGGACCTGGTGCATGGAAGGCTCTCAATACACACTCATGAATAGTAGAATCAGAAAATTAACAACTAGAAAGACTCTAAATGTTAAAGTGTTAATCACTCAGTCATATCTGACTCTTTGTGACCCCATGGACTGCAGCCTGCCAAGCTCCTCTGTCCATGGAATTCTCCAGGGAAGAACACTGGAGTGGGTAGCCATTCCCTTCAGGGGATCTTCACAACCCAGGGATCGAACCCAGATCTCCTGCACTGCAGACAGATTCTCTACCATTGGAGCCACCAGGGAATGAGGCATAAATGAAATGAAGCATAAATCATGTCATTATTTTAGTCTTTATTCATTAGTATAGTCTGCATAAAGAGACTCCTTTAATAGTGTTCATCCATCCTGTACTTGATGATCTCCAATGATATGGAATTTATTACAGTTGGTCCTCCACATCTGTGAGTTCTGCATCCATGGATGCAACCTGATACAGATCAAAAGTATTTGGGAAAAAAATTCCAAAAAGCAAAACTTGAATTTGCTATATACCAGCAATTATTTATAGAACATTTACCTTGCACTAGGTATTATAAGTAATCTAGAGATGACAAAGCATAAGAGAGGATGTGCATTGATTATATGCAAACACTGTATCATTTTATATGAGGGGCTTGAGCATCCTTGGATTTTGGTATCCTTGAGGGATTCTGGAATTAATCCCAGGGGGATACTGAAAAACAATTGTACTTCCTAAGACAATGAAAAGAGTCTACTTAGTAAGCTGTTTTTATTCAGCTGGCATTTGCTTCTTTTGTTTCTTGTTCTTTCCTCTGAAACTCATTGAACTGAGTGAAGCTTAGTGTAAACTATGAAGTTTGTGTGATTACAATATGTATACATTCATTGATCATAGCAAATGTACCACTCTAGTATGAAATGTTGATAGTAGGGGAGTCTGCCTTTGTGTGAGTGCGGACTATCAGCAAACTGAGAAAATGCAACTTGATTGTTTTTTATCCTTGCTTTTTGCCCTCTTTTTTAAAAATTAAAATTTGACTATAAATATGTAATTTTATTTTGTTGCCCCCTCCCTTCATTCAAATAAAATAAAAAATACCCTCATTCACATAAAAATACAGAGTATAGTGTGCACATGCACACGCGCGTGCACACACACACACACACACACACACCATGAAACAGAAGAGGTGACCATAACAACAACAACAACAACAAAACAAGATGAAAAATCCCCCAAAAGTTGAATCTGGGAGGCTTGACAGGAACAATGGAGACAATTCTGGTGCTCATTTGAGCAGTTTTGAATTCCTGTCTCCGACCCCCTCCCCTGGAATAACTGCTACTTCTTTGAAAGAGACCACTGTGCTGAGTGACTGGAAGTCTCTTCACTGGAGGACTCATCTCCACGCTGTCAGAGCTGTTCCTGATGTTGCTGCGGGGGTCCTTGTTTGAGCAGAGGGCTGCTGCCCACTCATGCTTGTCAAGAGACCTGTTGCCAGACTGCTGCTTGTGCTGTGATGCCTCCTTCCAGGACTTCTCCTTGGAGACGCATCTGTGTTGTGTACTATTTGCAATAAGCTGAGTGATCTATGAATGGGGGAAAAAAAAATCCTGTCTCAGCCCCAATCAGAAAACAGACAGCTGGCGCCTCTCTTTGCCTCTCCTTTCCCCATTTCTTCTCTTCTTTGCTGTTGTTCAGTCGCTAAGTCATGTCTAACTCTTTGCGACCCCATGAACTGTAGCATGCCAGTCTTCTCTGTCCATTACTATCTCCCTGAGTTTGTTCAAACTCATGTCCATTGGGTCAGTGATGCCATCCAACCACTTCATCCTCTGTCGCCCCCTTCTCCTCTTGCCCTCAATTTTCCCCAGCATCAGGGTCTTTCCCAATGAGTTAGGTCTTTGCATCAGGTGGCCAAAGTCTCCTTGCAAAACCAAAGATGAGCCGGGAGGTCAGGAATAACAGAAGGGGAACATCCTTTCCCCTGCTCCTTCCCTTTAATTCTTCCCCTTTCTTCTTAAAATTCTGCTTGGGGCCTGTACTTTTCCACTTTCATCGGATGGAAACACTTTCATTCTTCTCTCTACCATATTTTGCTGTAATGTGAAAATTCATTGATAGAGAAGGTATCCTTTTATTTTTATTTTGAAAGTATACTTTGAAACATTTGAGTTTTTAAGAGGAAAATTTACAAAGTTTATTATTTTAAATGTAAATTAAGAAATTCTTAATTTCTCCAGGTCTCTAAGCTAATCAGGTCATTTTCGCTGCACCTGGGCAAAAAGGCACCTGAATTCCTATGAAGTGTATTTGCAGGTAAAATAGAAGTTTTACCTCTTTCCCTCGCGTTTAAACCCAGAAAAACAAAATCAATAAAAGAAAATCAATACTTAAGCACACAGGGAGAGTTTGAATAAACAACGGAGGCTTACAGCACTGATTCCCGCAGTGTTCTGAAAGCCCAAACTAATAACCAAATGCCAGTCCACAACCCTTTCCATCTCTTGGAGGATAATAGAGGTAAAGAATGGGAGAGGTAAGAAAGGGTTCCATTTCAAAAGAAAACAGAAATCTTAAGGTGAAAAAGCCATCAGAACCTCACGACGCAGATGACACTGGAAAACGCAGGAACCCAGACCGAGTGGGAAATTGGCGGACAGGCGTGAGGGACCCCTGACTTTGCAGCTGACCCCAGCAAGACTCCACCTCTAGGAACCATCTCATTGGAGCTCACCTGTCAGCTAGCATCCGCCCCAGCCCCATTTCCGCATGCGCACCACGGGCCAACGCGGCAGGGTCGTCTTGCAGCCCGCCCCACCCCCCAAATTCCGGGTTCTGATTGGTCCTCCTGGCAGGTCTGCCCCTTCGGCCCAGCCAATGGGAAAGCAGTCTCGGCTCTCCGCCCTCCCGGCCGGCAGCGGGAGGCCCGGTAGACTGCGAACCTGGGTGGTGAGCGGGGATGGCGGCGGTGGCGGCGTCCGCAGGCCGGCTGCTGCGGCTCCGCGCGGCCGGGGCCGAGGGACCCTGGCGTCGGCTGCGTGGCGCGGGGCTGCCGCGGGGCTTCCTGCAGTCCGCCTCGGCCTACGGGGCTGCGGCCCAGAGGCGTCAGGTGGCTCACTTCACTTTCCAGCCTGACCGGGAGCCCGTGGAATACGGTGAGCGAGGGGCTGCCCTGTCCGCCCCGCTGCAGCCCAGTCTCGCAGGCCGGTGGGAGCTCACTGAGGGTGCGCCCTGCCCCTCCTCCGCGGGGGCCGGCAGGCTGACCTCCTTGCACCCCAGCAGAGTCCCTGCCCTGCTCTCGAGAGTCCGCTACCTGTGGGTCTGTGATTTCCTCCTTAGTTCCATGTTCGTGCTTTCGAGAGGCAGCCCCTCGGCACCCTCGAGATGGGTGAGAGGGCGCGCGGGGTGTGCTAGGGCCCCAGGGTGGAGGGGCGGTGCTGGGGAACGCCTCCTTTTCTCCGCCCTTTTATCCTTGCTTTTCCACGTACGTCCCCCTCTCCCCCTTCACCCCAGAGTTGTCCCAGCTTGCCCACGCAGGGGCCACAAACTACAGGCAGAGAGGTATGTTTAAAGAAAAAAGCAGTCCCCCCTCCCTTTTTTATTTTTGTTTGTTTTATTAGGTAAGAGAAAACAGAGGGACTAAAGTAACTGAATTGGTTTTCCCAAGGTCACAGAGCAGCTTCTTCCTAGAGATGCGAAACAGCCATCTTCCTTTCTATCTGAGCTTAGCAGTGAGCTTGTGCTGGGCAAGGCTACCACTTAGCCAAGGAAGGGTAAGCGGTGTGGGTAATGGGTGGAGGAAGCCATCGAATGCTTCCAACTGCGGCAAAGACTCGCAGACCTCGCCGAATGACAGTTGCATGACTGTTACAGCTGAGTTTTCTGTAACCTCCGAAAGATCCAGTGCCTATCATCGCAACGTTGGGAACAGTAGGAAAACAGTTAACTTTTCCTTGGCTGGCTAATCACTTCTCCCATGCTAGAGCTGACGTTTGGGGAAGTGTGTCAGTATTTACTTGTGAGTAATAAAAATGTATATTTATTGAGCGCTAACCTCAGGCAGGCCCTGGACTGAGAAATTTACATTCATTCTCTTATTTGATGGTTAGGACAATCTTAAGAGGTAGGTAATTCCCCCCCCCCCGCCCCCCCCCAGTTTTTTAGTTGGATAGCTGAGATCTTGAGATAGTTTGTCCTGGATTACACAGAGAAGTTAGTGGTATAGTGTTGCAGAGTGGGAGACCACTGAAGCAACTTAGCATGCACACAGCTTTGGAATCTAATTATTCAGATTCCGGAGATTCCATTCTAAACAGTGTGCTAAACTGCATGTCGAAATTATTTACTAAGAGGTGTTCTGGTTTTGTGAAATAGTAGACACTGTAAAGGTGAACACAATTTTTTCTCACCAGCAAAATGAACCTTGAATTCTCTCTTCAAAGAAACTAGCCCAATACTTGAGAAATAGAGCATAGGTCTTCTTAACCTCCTTCCATAATTATAGAATTACTAAAGCTTGAGTAAAATGATAATAAAATGCTTGTTCTTATAAAAATAACAAAAGAATATTACAGATAATTTGGATAATAGAAAAAACAAAAAAGATACTCTCAACACCCACTACTGTAAATATTGCTAATATTTCTGGATGTATCCTTTTAGGGATTTCATTCAGTTTAGTAGAATTAAAGAATTCCACTAATAAAATGGGGCTTCCTAGATGGCTCAGCTGGTAAAGAATCTGCCTGCCAATGCAGGAGACATGGGCTGGATTCCTGGGTTGGGAAGATCCCCTGGAGGAGGAAATGGCAACCCACTCCAGTATTCTTGCTGGGATAATCCCAGGGACACAGGAGCCTAGTGGGCTACAGTCCACAGAGTCATAAAGAGTTGGATACAACTGAGTGACTGAGCACACACACACTAAAATGAATGGAATAAAAATTTCCCATAATTGTAGTTTTAATATTAATACAATCTGCATTATTTAATCAGAAGCCTTTCCCCATATTGTTATATAGCTTTTTATAGCCTTCTTTAGAAGAAGACATGTTTTGGGAATTCCCTGGCAGTCCAGTGGTTAGGACTCCATGCTTTCACGGTGGAGGTCCTGGGTCCAATCCCTGGTTGAGGGACTAAGATCCTGCAAGCTGTGTGACATAACCACCAGCCCCCCCACCAAAAAAAAAAAACCCCAACCAAACAAAAAAACCTGTTCTGTTGAACAGAAACATTGTATAGGTCAGTGGTTAAAATCTTGGCTATAGAATCAGATTGGCCTAGGTTCCATCTTTATCCTTACCTATAACTTTAATAAACTTACAACTTAACCCTCTGTAAGCCTCAGTTTATGAGGACTTAATATCTACTTTGGAAGGTTTTTATGAGGATTAAATAAGGATAATGTGTGTAATGTACTTAACACAGTCTCTAAGAAGCAATCACTCAGAAAGTAAATGGAAACTTAATAATTACCTTTATACTTTTGTTGTTACAGTTTTGCAGTGTTATAAATAATGCAGATAGAAACATTTCTTGCATCTTTTATGTATCTGAGATTATTTCTTTAGGATAAAGATTAAGTTCAGGGGTGAGATTTGGTGAAGATATGAACACTTCATTGGATTTTTAATGCATAGTTCAGATTACCAGTTGATACTCTTATTTGCAGTATGAATGTGAGTACTGGGTATCATGCTAAAATCACAGGTGTGCTGTGATCCTGTGATTTGTGGTGAAATACATATCTGGTGTTTGTTCTGTTCCTGGCACAGAACCCTTGAAAATTCCCATGATGAGAGCAATAAAAATGTCTTTAGTTGTATTACTGTTTGGTAAGCCCTGACGTTACTGAAGGGGCTTCCCAGGTGTGCTAGTGGTAAAGAAACCACCTGCCAATGCAAGAGATGTGGGTTTGATCCCTGGGTCAAGAAGATCCCCTGGAAGAGGAATGGCAACCCGTTCCAGTGCTCTTGCCTGGAGAATCCCAGGGACAGAGGAGCCTGGAGGGCTTCTGTCCATGGAGTCACAGAGCTGGATACGACTGAAGTGACTTAGCATACAGCACACAAAGTTACCTAAGGATGGGGATTATCGCCAGATGTGCTTAGAGAGTTGGAACTTGAAGTCCTACCCCGCTCACCTCTGGAAAGGGTAGGGGGACCTCCAGGTCAGTGGATTGCCAATGGCCAGTGATTTAATCAGCCATGCCTATCTAGTGACACTTCCCTGAAACCCCAAAGGTCAGGGTTCTGAGAGCTTCTGAAGGAGTGGCGCTGTCAGAGAACATCTCACATCTTTCCACACACCTTGCTGTTTGCAGCTCTTCCATCTGGCTGTTCCTGAGTTATATATATTTTATAATAAACTGGTGATCTAGTAAGTAAAATGTTTGAGTTCTGTGAGATGCTCTAGCAAATTAATTGAACCTAAAGAGGAGTTGTGGGAGCCTCTGATCTTATGTCCATTGGTCAGAAGCAGAGGTGATAACCTGCACGTGGTGTTGGCACCTGAATCAGGGGAGGGGCAGTCTTGTAGGACTGAGCCCTTAACCATGTAGGATCTGACATTATGGGAGATCATATCAGAATTGAGTTGACACCTGGTTGGAGACTTGCTCGGTGATATGTTAAAACACCCACACTTTAGCATTGGTTGTCAGAATTGTATGTGCTCATGTGCGTGCATGCGCGCACACACACTCACACTAACTCACTCACTGTGGGGTATTTTGTGCTAACTGCACTTTTGTTTTAATATGCATTTATTTCATTTCTATTGAATATGTTCCCATATATTTGTTTGTTAGATTTCTTTGCACTTGTGTGAATTAAATGTTCCTTGTCTTTGTGTACTTTAGAAGTTTGTACATGGTGTACTTTTTTCTGTCAGTACTAATGCTACCTACCATTTTTGAGCAGCTGCTCTATTCCAGGTGGTGTTATAGACATCAGTCTATAATCCTCCCAGGAACCTTGTTGAATTAAAGAGCATTATGCTCGTTTTATTTTTCTGGGCTCCAAAATCACTGCAGATGGTGATTGCAGCCATGAAATTAAAAGATGCTTACTCCTTGGAAGAAAAGTTATGACCAACCTAGACAGCATATTAAAAAGCAGAGACATTACTTTGTCAACAAAGGTCCGTCTAGTCAAGGCTATGGTTTTTCCAGTGGTCATGTATGGATGTCAGAGCTGGACTATAAAGAAAGCTGAGCGCTGAAGAATTGATGCTTTTGAACTGTGGTATTGGAGAAGACTCTTGAGAATTCCTTGGACTGCAAGGAGATCCAACCAGTCCATCCTAAAGGAGATCAGTCCTGGGTGTTCATTGGAAGGACTGATGTTGAAGCTGAAACTCCAATACTTTGGCCACTTGATGTGAAGAGCTGACTCATTTGAAAAGACCCTGATGCTGGGAAAGATTGAGGGCAGGAGGAGAAGGGGATAGCAGAGGATAAGATGGTTGGATGACATCACTGACTCAATGGATTTGGGTGAACTCCAGGAGTTGGTGATGGACAGGGAGGCCTGGTGTGCTGCGGTTCATGGGGTCTCAAAGAATCAGGCACAAGTGAGCAAATGAACTGAACTGAACTGATGCTCATTTTACAGATGAGAAAATTGAGGCTTAGAGATGTTGGTGGCTCGCCCAAGTCTGATAAGTAACAGGACAAGAATTTGAACCCATACGTGTCTTAACTCCAAAGCCTCCTATACAAATGTACTAATGTTTTGTGTGGTAAAGATACTAATGAATATATTTCTTCTCTCTCTTAATATATTGTTATCTCTCTGCTTTTCACTTGTGCTGCAAAGAATTTTTATTCTTTTATTTTGATTATTTTGACACATGTAAGGGCCTCCCTAAATAGAGTAGTGGGCACAGTGGACTCTGAGGAGGTGACATTTAAACTGTACTGTAAAATAAAAGGTGAAGGACTCACTTCTGCAAGGACCAGAGGGCAAGTTTGTTTTTCAGGAACAAGGGCAAGCAAGGGTAGAGTCCCTGGGGGTGGGGTGAGTTTGTGATGTAGGACCCAAGAAAGCCACTGTGGTTGGGATGTTCTGAGTAGGGGATGGTAGACAGCTCTCAAAGGTCAAGTGTAGAAGGAAGAGTCCTTTTTTTGTGGGGATGAGGTGTTATTTCCAGCAGA